CATTTAACCGTGAATGACAGTGACAGAGGGGTACCGGTAAACGCGGGGAGGGGGGAGGGGGAGGGGGGAGCTGCGCAGTGAGCCGGACCCTCACTCGTTCTGTCAGCGTGCTAGCTGCTATGAGAGGTGGCGGCGACCGGGGAGGGGGGAAGGGGGCATGCTTTTATTTCGCTACGCATGGCACATGGATATCTTTAAGGAATATACTAGTGGATCAAAGTCAAAGTTCTCAGTGGGTGCCATAAATATATTCCATAATATACGTTGTATATGGGTATAAAATGTCTATTTATATAACATGTGCGCGCCCTAGATCTATACCTATACGTACGTAACCCTTTGCTCCCCAATGGATACTGATGTGCCATGGAAAAATGTTACACATAATTAAGTAGGTTGATGCCAGAAACCGCCCATAGAGTATAGATTACGGTATATAGGTGCACAAGTACAATGCTACAAAGAAATACCTACCCTAGTAATATTAAGGATAATTGATAACAAGCACATATAAGGCCAAAACAAAATATAGGTGTGGTTACGGTTTCCCGACCGACCCTATTTATTTCCAGCGACCCTAAACATTTTATTGTAAATTTTCTTTAAAGAATTTCAAAAAATATGAATTCCAGTTCCTGCTTCAAAATGTACAACGCACATCCTTCGGACATGGTTCGTAAATAAAATATTTCAAGAAAATAAAATGTTTTTCCTACTTACCTACCCTATTTTTTTTCGGCATGTAACGGTAACCACACATATTTTTTTTTTTGCCTAACCAGAGCTTATAATGATTATTAAAATTATAAGCTCTTTGATATAACTCCTTATGGGATTGACATGCACTTTTAAATAAACACGTGTTTCAAAATAAAACATGCAGTCATTATATGTAGACCTATTCATGATAACTCATATTTAATCGCCCATCAATTTGCATTATTTGTGATACATGTACCGCTACTACACCACCCAAGCAGTATATATATGTAATATATATATATATATATATATATATAATATATACATAAATATAATGTATACATACATAATTATATATAATGTATATATAATATATATATATATATATGTAATATATGTAATCATTGCCAAAACGTTGCTACTATAAGCATATATATATATACATGTATATAATTCAGGGCACAATTTTAACAGTCGTCCGGTCGTCCGTGACGACTGGATTTTCTCTCGGGCAACTACAAATTGCATCCGTGGTTGTCCGGTGTCCAACCTCTATAAAAAAAATTATATTCATAATGCGCGCGTTCATTTTACATACGGCCAGGGTTGCACAATACGCTGCAAACGTACATGTCTAGACGCATTGTCTGGCTTGCTTGATACAAAGTATAACATTACATGTTAACAACACAATGTTCTTCGTGTTAATTTTCAATTTTGCTCATCTGTCACTTGACAGTGTTAGTAATGTTAGTAATGTTAGTAGTGTAATGTTAGTAGTTAATGTAAATGTTATGAAATAAATTTTATGCACTTTTAATTACTATTATTATACGTCATTGATCCCAGCATCATTTACACATTACCAATATTTTATTATCTTCATATAATGAGTGAAACAATGCGAATGGCCATGTCTGCTGTCACTGCAATACGTACAAAATGTACATGATTAGGCCTTTACTTTACAGCACTGAGCATCACGTGAGCAGAGCGCATGCAGAACATGTTTAAATAATATCCGGACAACAAAACTCTTGAGGGACAACCCTTTTGGTCTCTTGGTTGTCCTCCGGACAACCCAAAAAAAAACCTTAAAATTGAGCACTGTAATTGCATATATATAACTGGCACTGCATATAATCAGGAGTAGATAATAGGGTTATCTACTCCTATTATCTACTCCTGATATAATGTGCATAATATAAATGCATGTATACTATACATGTGCAATGATGAATCATGCATGGACAGTATCAAATGTCCTCGACGATAACGGCAATGAGGACAATAGTAATTAATGAACACAGTTTCTTAGCAAGTGAGCAAATCACGATACTTTCTTTTTCTATATACTGGTCATATAGGCAAACCTGTACTGCTGTACACAAAGGTCACTCCAGAGAAATGTCAATGGTGGCATTTGTAGACAGAAGTTGATTCCATAGACATCACTTACCACTAACATGGATTTGACTTTATCTGCAACTCTATGACCATATCGATAGAAAATCGTATCAAAATGCCCCTATCAAAGGGTAAAATAATGACACATAAAATAAACAATGTTCTCTTTGGTGCAAGAAAGTCATGTATGTAAATAAACTCTCAATGAAGTTGATGGGATGCTTGGCATATATGGCAGGAATCATGGTGCTATATATATTCGTTACATGTGCAATCTTATAATAATAACACATTATTGTATTAATTATTAGAAGTCTGGGGCTGTTTACCAGAGATTGGAGACTTAATTATTGCTGGAGCAATAAAAATATCCAGAGTAGTTTCTTTCATCTCAAGTAGGGTGGCTGGAAAGAGGTTTATTATGCATTAGCTTTATTTTTAATGATTTGTTTGCACCACAGGGTCTCGTAGAAAAAAATCGTGTGCACCCTATGCTATAATTATATTTCTGTGCAACATGTGTTATGTATTATATCACGTAATGTATAGGGTCATACAATTACAGGATGTTTTACCACGGCCACGGCCTCCTATGCATGGTTAGAAGTTAGAACAGCCAGTGTGATGTTCAGGCAAACTAATCATGTGATTACACAGCTATAGGACAAGAGCACTTTTCATGTTATGTGCCTATATAATGGGACAATGTATGCATGAGTGCGAGTATGTATGTGCAGTATGTAAGCCCCTGGATCTCAGTGTATGTGACCTGATGGTGATCGAGAATAAGACATGTAAACTCAAGAGTAAATAAATATACACTCTAGATAAATCTAACTAATATCTAGCTAACTAATATGTGTGGTTGTCATAGTATTCAGCAGGCAGTGGCATATCCAATGAGAGGATAGGCGCATTCTTACCCTATGCACTTACTTTTAAATGTGTACTACTCAGTGGCGTAGACAGGTCCTCAGTTGTGGGGGGATGATTTCCCTGTTACTTCCATCACAAAGTATACTAAGAGTGTATGCGCGCAGCGCACACTGCGAACGCCTTGGCGTGAAGCGCCTAACGGGTGGGGTCCAGGCGCCCGCCCCAGGAGCCCTGGCGGGGTGCAGGGGCCCACCCTAGGGGCCCTGGCAGGGTGCAGGGGCCTTGGTGGGGTGCAGGGGCCAGCCATAGGGGCCCTGGCGGAGTGCAGGGGCCTGCCCTAAGGCCCTGGCGGGGTGCAGGGGCCCGCCCTAGGGGCCCTGGCCGGGTGCAGGGAGCTCTTGGATTTTTAGCATTTTTTAGCATTAGGCCGTTTTTGAAGGAATTGTAAGTGCAATATTTGTGAATTCTAGGGTTATTTTTTTCTTTGGTTTCCAGAGGTTTAATAACACGCAACCCCCCACACACACACACACCACCACCACCACCACACACACACGCTAAAACTGTAGAAAAAAACAACCAGATTTCAACCAGTGCATATTTTCACCCCTTATACAAAATCGGGTATATACTTCCGGTCAGTTCTCAGCACACCCCATCCTCCCCCCAAAAAAGTGTGATGAAATTGAATTTTCCCCATTCAATCCCAGTGAAAATTCAATATCCTAACTCTCAATAGGGCTCGTAGGGTCTATGTCCCCCAGGGTACTATCGGAGGGTACCCTGGGTACGTTCGATATATCGGAACGTACCCTGGTAACTATCTGATATGGTTAGGGTTAGGGTTAGTGAGTAGGCGTAGGCGACTCCCTATACTCGTTAGTGGAGTAGGCGAGGTACGGTCCGGCATATTAGATAGTACCAGGGTACATTCCGATATATCAAACCGTAACCAGGGTACCCTCCGATAGTACCCTGGGGGACATAGACCCTCTCAGCCTCAATAGGTCTATTCTAATTTTGAATAAAGCAGGGATTTTTCAAGGACTGTGCGAACCATGGGTTTGAACTTTTGTGGGGAAAAAATCGTATATATGGGGAATGAGTCCAAAATTAATCGTTTTACTTTTCAGTAAAATGTCATTCTTGGAACGAGTTACAGACATTTTACAGTAGATATGTATATGAATATACATAATAAATATTAATAATTAATATTAATATGTCACTTTCCATTTGTGTAATAACACTAATAGATTAGGAGAGTATGAATAGCGATGACGGATTTGTAGATAAATGTTCAGTATTTATTGCCTGTATAATATGAATTTTTATATTTCCCCATTTTCCTCCTGAAACTGAAAGTAGGAGGGGATGATTATACACGCCATCCCCCACCTCAATAAGTGGGGGGGTGGGATATATCACGCCCCTAGCTCTAGTACTATAGCCCGCGTACAGTAACTGCCGCTATGCGGACTAACCGGCTAATAGAGCTACCCCCCCACCCCACATCCATAAAACACCAGAAAAATTAATTTGCCAGGAAAAAGTGCCCTTTTAGGCCTTTATTTCTTCCTGTACAACGTACCCCCTTTCAAAAATCCTGGATCCGCCCCTGCTAATATATCTACTATGTAATATAGCTACACTATACTATATCTATACTATATTATATATCTATAATATATCTATACTAATACTAGTAATGTCTATGCCTATGGCAATATCAGCAGAGCAGCAGAGTTTCTGCATCGCACCACCATCTATCGTCTGTTGGTGAAGAAATTCTTCTCGGCGAATCCAACCGTATGATGCGGTTCGAGTCTTTTAAAGATCTGAAGAAAGATCTTAAAAGCAAGCACTTAAACTAATAAAATAAAAGTAAGAATATTAACTCACTGATGATTTAGAAATATAAATTATTGCAAAATTACCATAGATGCAACTATATCTTCATACATGCTGAACTAGGGCGATATCCGTATCATACTCGCAGCACCGGTCAACAAGGGTTCAGGTCCTTCAGGAACGAAGAACGTAGAACCAGTTTAGGCAGTGAGACGAATTTTGCATATTTTCAGGGGAAAGTTCTTATTCTTTAACAGCCGGAATTTGTGAAAAATACGCAGTGAGTATGATCTAGATCATTACGTACCGAGTATGATCATTACGTTCCATCGCGTACGTTGTCGTTGGGTTAAATAATAAATACACAATCATAATACTGTACTGTACACAGTCTGTACATACCGAATCGGTATCATTTTAGAGTTAGCTTTCGCTTTTTTTGTAAAATTGTTGGCTGCTTGGCAGCGTACCAATACGCTTTTTCCTGCACATCCGCACTCTACCCCGTTTGTCACGTTGCCGGCACGTGATCGTGGCCTCAATTGCCCGAGTGAAGGTGAAGTTGTGACATTCGGTGCTTCAAGTTCTTTTTTGTTAGCCAGTGCCGAGTGGCAGCGACGGTGAATTCACATCAGCTGTGCAAGTCTAAGACCGTTTGTGTATGCGAAAACGTATTAAGACCAGAGAGTATGTAATCCAGGACTCCCATTACTAACGTCACGACGCGCGCTAACGTTACTTTCATGCTTGTGCTCACATATATTGTACTAACAGGTGTCGACACAAAATGCTTGTGGTTACGACTGTAGTTAGTGTTAGGATTAGCTCGCAACTCGATCCCACACACATACGAACGTGCACGCACACACACAAACATACACACACACATGCACGCACACACACATACACACACACACACACATGCACATACGCATATATACATAATTTTATGCAGCTCGAAGCAGCGAACGACGACGCTCGCTCATGCATTTGTTACCACGGCAACCATCCTCCCGTTGCAGGACCGCCGCCATCAGCCAGGATGTCGTCGCCGGACGCTATCGTGGGAGAGGGGCCGAGCCGGGAGAGCGTTCAGAGGGAGATCAGAGACAAGGTCTCCAAGCTGGAGGAGGGACTGCAGCAGCTGGAGGTGTCGAGGGAGGGACTCGCGCGGAACGTGAACGAGGTAGGTCGTCCAGGGAGCCCGTCGATACAGGGAGATGTCCCGTACGTCGATCTTTGTTACGGTCACGCTGACCCTGGTCGTGATGCTGACCCTATTCCTGACCCTTATCCTGACCCTGATCCTAATCCTGACCCTTATCCTGACCTTGATCCTGATCCTGACCCTGATCCTGACCCTGATCCTGATCTTGATCTTGACCCTGATCTTGACCCTGACACTGACCCAACCCTTAGCCTAACCCTAACCTCAACCCCAAACGTAAACCTAGGCCTAACCTAGCTCTAGAACTATAGCCCTCCGCTCTGCCGCAGGGCTATAGAACATACTATGGCAATTTCCAGGTAGTAAGCAAAGACAACTTTTTACGGTTAATAACTTCTTCGGTACTCCAAATAAAGCACATTCTCTGTCGCACAAATGTCTTAAGTTACTGCAAACTAACGGTTAAATGTTGTACTTGCTATATTACTCGTCGACGAATATTATTTACAAACTTGTCACTGCCATTTTTTGTTGCGCGGTTCCGGCGCCAGTGAGCGGGCACAATGTATTTCCAAGTGCAGGGGTGGGCAGGTTGCACGCGGTTATATCAACACCGTCGTTTCTATTTCTGTTGCCATCGATATGCGCGTATTCTCCTGTTTCTCCATCGATACGCGGGTCTTTGCCATCGGTCCTCTGTCTGCTGCAACCTCGTGCAACCTGCCTACCCCTCCACTTGGAAATACATTGTGCCCGCTTAATGGCGGTACCAAGTTTGTAAATAATATTTGTCCACGAGTAATATAGCAAGTACAACATTTGACCGTTAGTTTGCAGTTTAATTTTAGTGTTTGCAGTAACTTAAGACATTTGTGCGACAGAGAGTGTGCTTTATTTGGCGTACCGAAGAAGTTATTAACCCATGGTTCGCACAGTCCTTGAAAAGTCCTTGAATTTGAGGGGAGTCCTTGAAAGACTTGAAATTTAGTAAATGTTGATTTTGTGCTTGAAAAGTCCTTGAATTTATGAAAATGTCCTTGAATTTTAGAAAGAATCCTTGCCTGTAATAAAAAGAAATTTTGTACCATCAATAATGTGCAAACCTCATAAAAATTGCGCGTTAAATGAGGCTTAAAAAGCTATAGACATGATAGACAGTTAAATGATGATCACAAATAGCAGTAAGTCAGAAAATCAGTCAGTAAATCAAGGTATGTTGTAGAAGTGACAGTGTTTAGAAGGGTTTATTAATGTGATCCAGGTAAGTTTTAGACATGACATGCAGTGATTAAGAATGTTGGTTATTAAATTAATCCAGGTATGTTTTTGTTCGCGTGTATGAATTCCGATAAAACTGTCTGAGTAAAATGTCCTTGAATTTCCGATAAATGACCTTGAAAAGTCTTGAAAAGTCCTTGGAAAAAAATTTCCAGTCCTGTATGAACATGTAACCGTAAAAAGGTCTTTGGCTTACTACCTGGAAATTGCCATAGTATGTTTTATAGCCCTGCGGGGCGGAGCGGAGGGCTATAGTTCTAGAGCTAGGCCTAACCCTAACATAGTGATCTCTCTCTCACACACAGGTGGCGCTCGCCATCATTGAGATGCTACGTAACAGGGAGATGTGGCTGCTCTCTCCCTCCCTCCCTCCCTCACGCCTCTCTCTCTCCCTCACCCCCTCACCCTCTCTCTCTCTCTCACCCTCTTTCTCACCCTCTCTCCACACACAGCGTGCCATGGCAGGTGCGCTCGCGGTGAGCTCGCGCATCATGGAGACGCTGAGTAAGAGGGAGATGTGGCTGCTCTCTCCCTCCCTCCCCTCACCCTCTCTCTCTTCCTCACGCCCCCACCCTCTTCTCCTCTACCTCTTCTCACCTCTCTCTCACACACAGGTGCAGAGTGGCAGGTGCGCTCGCGGTGAGTCGCATCATGGAGAGCTGAGTAAGAGGGAGATGTTGGCTGCGTGCTCTCTCCCCTCCCTCCTTCACCCCCTCACCCTCTCTCTCTCTCTCTACCCTCTCTCTCACCCTCTCTCTCACCCTCCTCTCACCACACAGGTGCAGTGGCAGGTGCGGCTCGCGCGGTGAGTGGCATCATGGAGACGCTGAGTAAGAGGGAGATGTGGCTGCTCTCTTCCGCCTCTCCCTCCCTCCCTCCCTCCCCCCTCACCCTCTCTCTCTCTCTCTCTCACCCCTCTCTCTCACACCAAGTGGCAGTGACAGGTGCCGCTCGGCGGTGAGTCGCATCATGGAGACGGCTGAGTAAGAGGGAGTATGTGGCTGCTCCTCTCCCTCCCTCCCTCCCTCAACCCTCTCTCTCTCTCTCTCACCTCCCTCACCTCTCTCTCTCTCTCTCACCTCTCTCTCACGCCTCTCTCTTACACACAGGTGCAGTGGCAGGTGCGCTCGGCGGTGAGTCGCATCATGGAGACGCTGCGTAACAGGGAAATGTGGCTGCTGGGGCAGGTCGAGACGATCCAGCACAGCCGCGAGGAGGCGCTCAATGGCCAGCTGTCGCGCGTCAACCAGGCCATCGCCGGCTGCTGCGCGCCGCGTCACCAAGTTCGCGGAGGACGGCAGCGTGAACGCGGCCGCGGTTGAGGCGCGCCTCGACCAGTGTCTCAAGCAGTGAGTACACCACGCTTGAGAGAGAGGCTTCGGGGGAGCAGGGAGTCTCGGGTGGGTCTAGTCTGAAGATGTGAGGCATTTAAGTGTGTCAGGCGGTGAGTACACGTGCTCAAGAAAGAGAGAGGCTTCAGCAGGTAGTGCACGTCTCGACCAGTGTCTCAAGCGGTGAGTACGCGGGAGACGTTTCGGTGGGTGAAAGGGTTGAGTCTGAAGTTGAGGAGGGGGTTTGAGACTCGGGTGGCGTGCGTCAGGGCTCGAATTACAACGACGGCACCGACGGGCAATTGCCGTCGTGCCCTATGCATTGCCGTACTGCCCCTGAAAATCCAACTCGACCGACGGCAGTCATCTGCCTTGCCCTTTGTGTAATTGCCGTCGGGCGCACTTTAATCTACTGCCCTAGTTTTTCGTTTTAGATCGGAATCACATAAGCACGTGGCCCGTGCGTGCTGTAGTTGCAATGATGAGGCTTAAAACCGATAGGTCGCAGGAGAACAATAACAGCAGTCGGATAATTATTCAGCCTGATAGCGGGCATATAAAATTTATTGGTACTGCTACTTCCTTAGCAGAGGGGGGGTAAAGGCGTTGGTGTTACGGTGTAAGCTTACATGGGGATATTGTTTTGGCTAGACTTAAAAGCAGTACGATGTTGATTACTATTGTTATGAGTTTTCCTTTATTTTACAAAAGTGCCTTGGTGGCAGTTGGTGCCCTTCTCAAATTTTGAAAGTTGCCTTGGTGCCTTTTAAAATTGCCTCTGTGCCCTTCCATTTTAGAGAAAATTCAAGGCGATTTCTCACGTGCCCTAAAAAAATTGCCTTGCCCTTCTCGCCGCTTAATTCGAGCCCTGGCGTGCGTGTTTGCACCAGTGTCTCAAGCGGTGAGTATGGGGACAGAGGCTTCGTGGGATGGGTGGGGGGAGTTCGAATCTCGGGTGGCATGCGGGGTGTAGTCTAAGGCCATCCTTAAAAAATTATATGTTTGCTGTCCTCCGACCGACCCACGAAAATAGCCGCGACCTACGTTTTTTTTGACATTTTGGGTTCCATATTTTTTTATTTTTTTTATTTTTATTTTTATTTTTCATAGTTAAGACTGAAACACAAAGCATGTGTGGCAAACATGAGGACAGACTTAAAATAACTAGGCGTGACCTACCTACCTACCCACTAAAAAAATTATGAGTCGGGGGACAGCAAACATAGAATTTTTTAAGGATGGCCTAAAGAGGGAAGTGCTTTCGACACATGTAAGTCTTTATCTTTATCGGTCGGCTGATCGTCGTCGTCGTGCGTCTGCTTGCAGGCTCGACCAGCTATGCGACACGTCCGACCACAGCCAGGTGGTGCTGCGCGCCGACACTAACTCGCTGCGCGACAACATCCGCGGCTTCGGCGCGATCGAGACGCGCCGCCAGGGGGCGCCGTCGTCGCTGCCCGGCGCCGCCGCGCTAACGTCGCAGTGCTTGCCGTCGTCGCTCGAGGAGTACGAAGATCTCGACCACCACCTGATGCACAAGCCTGTCGCCGACCCGTTCAACGTGAGTGGCGCCCCCTCTGCCGTCGCTGCCTTAAGTGGCACCCCCTGTGCTGTCGCTGCATTAAGTGGCGCCCCCCTGTGCCGTCGGAGCCACGTTCTGTCCGATCGTCTAACCGTCTCGTCCAATCAGCCATCCCTTCCAGACTAAAAAATATCTCTGCCGTTGTCGTCGTCACAGATTGTTGTCGCGTTCCCGAAGCTATCTGGTCGCCGTGACGACTGGCTGACCTCGTCCGGCACCGCGACCCCGACGACCGACGGCGCGAAGCCATGGCCGCCGTCGTCGGGGGCGACGACGCCCTCCGCCGCCGCGCCGAGACCGCCGCAGCATCTCAACATACCGCAGCGCCACCTGGAGCTGGGTAAGTGTGCGTCGCACCCACCCACCTGGTGGGGAACGCGGTTATACATATATATGTGTGTGTGTATATTTTTTATATGCATACGTATATATTAATATATATAGTATACAATATGCATACCAAACGTATATTGTATACAATATGTATAATACACGTATATTGTATACAATGTGTATAATACACGTATATTGTATACAATATGTATAATACCATATGTGTACTATACCTATATAGTATACAATACGGAAACTGTAATTATTTAGTATGCAACGCATACAGTATACATATATAGTATACAACGCGTACACTATACTGTACGCGCTCACTAACATACACTAACATGCACTAGCGTGTTCTCCGCTCGGCTGCAGGCGGTAAGGACACGCCTGTGAGTGCGCTCAGCGAGGACTCGGCCCTTAGCATCCAGCACTGGCTGCAGCAGATCAAGACTGAGACGGAGGCAGAGCCGACCGTCTACGATGACTTTGAGGTGATACCGTGGGGCGCGTCGGCGTCGGCCGCTGCAACGTCGTCGTCAGGGGAGGAGTCGTTGTTCGGCGTTCTCGAGGCGCCCGACACGCCTCGCTACTTCAAGGTGAGATGCTGGTTTTAGTTTTGGTTGTGCTGTTTCCTTGCTCTCTCTCGTTCTCTCTCCCTCTCTCTCTCTCTCTCTCTTTTTCTTTCTTTCTTTCTCATCACTCGATAGCTCCCCCTCTTTCTCTTTCTCTCTTTCTCCCTCTCTCTCTTGCTTGCTGGCTTTCTCTCTCTCTCGCTCTTGCTTGCTGCTCTCTTTCTCTTTCTCTCTCTCTCTCACTCTCTATCTCACATATTTGTGTCTCCCATTCTCTCTCCTTGTCCTTCTCTCTTCATTCCTTCAGGTATGATCGTTCCACTCTGCGTCACCTGCCCTTCTCCGCCCTCATTACTGGCATTGCCTCGTGTCTCAAACTGGTCATCAGACTATGGCCTCGTGTCTCAAACTGGCACTCGCCACATTCCAGAGAGTTCTCGAGTCGCCCAGCAGCAGATGGCTCGTCGCCGTGGCGACGGAGGTGTCTCCCAGCGCCACCTACCAGCGGCTGCAGTACTTCGTGAAGGTGACGGACAACTGGGACAAGTGGCTGAGCAGGAAGAGCAAGAAACGGCAGGTACGCAAACTAGATGGGCGCCGCGTTCGCCGGTCTAAGTACATATAGCAGCCAGATGGCCCGTTGTCTTAACACCACAGTGCGAATAGGTTAGGTCCAGTGGCCGCCATGTTGGCTGGCCATGAACAAATTTTGTGTTTGCACTTGTGAAAATGTGCGAGGGGGGAGAAAGGGCAAAAAAGAGAGAGAAAGAAAGAGAGAAAGAGGGAGATAGAGAGAGAGCGAGAGAGAAAGAGAGAGAGAGAGCGAGCGACTATCTTCTACGTCCGACGCGGCTTTAACGCGACGTGTTTCGTGTTTCTCGCAGGACAGCGAGGAGGGTGGCACGGCGTCGCCGGCGGCGACCGACGGAGAGATGCTCTTTCCTTACTTCCAGCAGATCTCGAGCAGCGTCGAAGGCTGGCTCTACAACCCGAGACTGACCGAGGTGAGAATGTGCCGCGGCTTGCTCTATAAACTCTAACTTTAACACTAAAGCGTCGTTAACATCAGTGCATCGTTAGGATTAACCCATCATTAACTTCAACACATGCCCCCCCTTCGCGCTGCCCATGGTTAAAGTTAATGAATCGTTAAGATTTACCCATTGTTGACACTAATGCATCATTAACACTAATGCGTCATTAATATATATGCGTCGTTAACATCAAACGTGTCGTTGAATTCAATGCGTCTTTACAATTAAAGCGTCATTTACGTTAATGAATCGTCAGGATTAACCTGTTTTTCAGACTAATTAGTCAGTAACGTTGACGCATCGTTAACAATAACTCGTCTCTCATTACAGAAGCTCGTCAACGCTGTCCGCCGCGCAAGCCAGCACAGTGGCGCCCCTTCGCCACCGCCTCCCACGCCCACCAACCGTTCCCACGGCGACGGCGACGAACTTGGCCACTTCAGGCGTGTCCGTGCGGCCTCCCGCTCTGATTGGCTGAAGAAATTCTCTGCCGGTGAGGCAGTGGCGGCAGGTTCGCGCAAGCGCGCGTCCCCGTTCGCTCACTTTGAGCGTGTATCCAAGGACCCCTCCGATTGGCTGAAGAAGAACGGCCAGGAGGCGCCGGCGTCGCCCGACGGAGCGTCACCGTTCGCCCACTTCGAGCGCATCTCGAAAGACCCCTCCGATTGGCTGAAGGAATGCGTCGGCGCGGCGATGCCCGACCGCGTCGCGTCGCCGCCCCCGCTCTTCCGGCACGTCTCTGCGAACGCCGGAGATTGGCTGCGCCGAGATTCGGACGGCGAATCCGTCCCCTTCGAGTTCGTCTACCCGCCGGCGGCGTCCGACGTCACCAAGCTGTGCCCCCTGGTGGCCGCGGATTCTCCGTCGTCGTCGCCGGGGGTTGTCTCAGCGTGGTTGAGGGTTGAAGACCCTCTCGGCGCTCACGCGATGGCGCCAAGCTCTCAACCCGCCGTCGCTGCCGCTACGGCGGAATTTCACCCGTTCCCGCTGGGCACTCACGTCGTGGCGGCGACTGTTCAATCCGCCGCAGCAGCAGCAGCAGTTACGGCGGATCTCAACCCGTTCCAACAGCCGCTCAACGTCCAAGAATGGTGCAAGGTCGCAGCGACGCAGTGACGGGATGTATGGTGAGGAAGGAGGAGGAGGAGGAGGAGGGGGAGAGGGAGAGGGAAGATGAGGCAGGAGTGGGATAGGGAGGGTTTCTCAGGAAGGAGGGTTAAGTCTGCGTAGAGTAGGGCAAGGAGAGAGGGGAAGAGGGTGGGGAGGGAGTGGGATAGAAAACGTTTTATCAGGAGGGACAGGAAACTTGTGTAGCATAGTTGTAGAGGGAGGGAGAGATGAGGGAATGTAATTAATGAGGGAAGGTTTTTTTTTAGAGAAAAGTGGAGCGTGGGTAGAAGGGTGGGAGGCTAGGTGAGGAGGGGAGAGGCTGGGAATAAACTAAATGCACATGGAGGGAAGAATAGGATGACAACTGCTAGTGCACTCGCACAGATCACTGGCTATTGCCAAGTGAAGTAGCACAACGCATACTTATTATTTAAGATTCGGTGCCAAGTGGCCAATGTTTATTTTCCATGTTTGCAAACTTAACCGTTAAGCATTAACAAAATAATATATTAAAGCTGAATGGTATATTTGTAGAATACATTTATTTACTAAAATAGGTGAGATTTTTGAACTAAAATTGTGAAATGATGTATTTTCAGTGGCTCTTCCCTAGTTGGGAAACAACTGACTACATTCTAATTTTGTGTACATGATATATGGTATATTTATATATATATATAGGGCCTATATATGTGTAGCACTTACATTATTGTCTAGCTTGCTCGTTGCGAGAAAGCCCAAAGTATTTTATCTCTCAAGCTTTCTCTCTAGTCATCACTGCCAGTGTGCAGTATGTGGCCAGCAACCTGTTACCGGTCGTGTGACACTCGAACATTTCTGCTACACTATATAGGATATGCTGACGACTAGGGTACATACGTACTTAGAGGGTTTTACTGCCAATACGAGAGCGTCCGATTGAAAGTTCTCGCGTTTGTAGCGCGTGATATATACGTGCGCCACACGAGGAGCAGGTTAATATCAACCTCGTGGCTTTTAATTATGCCAATAATAATATGGCAATAATACGTCACGATCACTTGCCACATGGAAAGCTTGCTGTTGCTAGATATTAAGCTTTCTGTTGCCATATAAGAAGCTTTCAGCGGTCATATTCTAAGTTTTCAGTTGTCATATACCATGCTTTCAGTTATGTTGTCATATACTAAGCTTTTAGTTACCAAATGCTAAACTTTCTGTTACCATATAATACACCTACTGTTGTGAAGGTTTTCGAAAATAAATTGCTTCTGCGTTGGTAAAACCCACTCTAGTGTTTAGCTCATACTGAAACTGGTCCGTCAACTGTGTGCGTGCGTGCGTGCGTGCGCGCGTGTGTGCCGGTGCATCATAAACTACAGAGAACACATCGGTCTAGAAGTGAGGTAATTAAAATATATATCCTGTTTAAACGAGTTACATAATTACAGATTAATCCGCGCGTGGCACGTTGAGCTCGAGCGCCTTCAAGTATTACAATTACAACTGCGATGACAACGATTCTGCGTACAGGCATCCTAGCGCCTATTTTGAGCATTTCTACTTCGAATGTTCAATGAAATAACCTGTAATAAAGTGTGTTCGAGTCCCCGTTTAAGATTAAAAAAATGTTATTTACATGGGGGGGAGGGCACATATTCTAACAAGGAGCTCCCAGGCTACAAAAAGACCTTGCAGAAACGCTACAATCTGTCTGCACACTGAGTCGGGTACTCCTTCTACAAGAAGAAGCAGAAGGTCCCCCCCTTACATACACCGAATTTTATTCGGCTATAATTATATTATGGCACGCCTGATATTATCTGTAGGAATATATGGAAGATGTAGAAGGTAGGTAGATAGATAGATAGATAGATAGATAGATAGATAGGTAGGTAGGTAGGTAGGTAGGTAGGTAGGTAGGTAGGTAGATAGATAGATAGATAGATAGGTAGGTAGGTAGGTAGGTAGGTAGGTAGGTAGGTAGGTAGGTAGGTAGGTAGGTAGGTAGGTAGGTAGGTAGGTAGGTAGGTAG